TAGAATAGTGAAGTAAGAGGGGGTCACGGTTAGACGGGCCCGGCATCTAAACACTAAATTACATAGGGTATTTATACCAAACTGGCAGGATAGTGGAGTAAGGGGGAGTCACGATCAGACGGACTCGGCATCTAAACACTATTCCACCAAAAACAGACACCAAACCTACAGAGTGGGATAGTGGAGTAAGGGGAGGTCACGATAAGACGGGCCTGGCACCTAAACACAAACCCCACAAAGATGACATCTACCAAACTAGCAGGATAGTGGAGTAAGGGGGAGTTACGGTCAGATGAACTCGGCACCTAAACACTATTCCGCAAATAAAACTGATACCAAACCCAGAGAGTGGGATAGTGGAGTAAAGGGAGGCCACGATAAGACGGGCCTGGCACCTAAACACTAAAACGATGACATCTACCAATCCAGAAGCAGACGAGATCATCTACCAAACGATATGTTTTATATTAAATAAAGGGAAGAACTTCCCACTAAACCAAATCCATGGCCAAATGGAAAGATTGCAAAATCATATTCTAAAAAAACAGGAATCAGCTTCGGCTCTCCTATGTCTTGTCTGCGATATCACTTATGTGGAAGCAAACGTTAAACACCAAGAACGAACGAACGACCAATCTGGATTTTCACACAAAATATGTGCTGTTTTCATGGCTAAATTACGAACGGACTACAATGATAGCACACCCCCACCCCCTACAATATACATCATGTATTACCAGTAGGTTACAAGGGATTTTATTAATTTTATTTACGATAAAACTAGGGATTTAAAATATGTGGATATAAGAGATAATTCAATTTTTGAATCAGTACAGACTTAAAGGTTGGCGTATGCACTGTGTGAAAAGAATACTTAATCATCATATTCTGTTAATAAAATCATTCGTTGAACCGGTGGTGATATTTTTTATTTAATTTGGCACAAAAATCATCCCTTATATCTCACCATGCCCCTTTAACTAATGCATGCTTTTTTGTACTCTTTCATGTGTTCTCTTTGATGTTACTAATTGTCGCCTCAGTTACTATTAATAATCTAAATTATGTCCGACAAGATTTCATTCATAAGAACTTGTTGTTAGGTGTTTTATTGAAAGCGTCTTCGATATGTTCACGGAAAAAATGAAAATTAATATTTGTTTCTGTGATAATTATTGGAAACCGAACCGGATTATTATTTAGGATATTTATCGACTACTGTATAAATACGGTAAGCAGTTTGTACATTGCATTTATAAATAAAAGTATAAAAAAAGAAATATATTTAAAGGGGTGAAGGGGCTATCATGAGATAACGTCAATCAATAAACAATACGAGTTTACTTTATTACAAAAACATTGGTGAACTTATCATTATGTCTAAAATCATAAAGCTAATCAACAAACAATACTATTGCTCTTTATTACAAAAACATTGGTGAACTTATCTTGGTCATGATCGGTTTGCCAAGATAATTAATTATTGGGTAAATAAAACAATATAAACAACAGATTTACTCCATACAATTAAATTATTAAATATTAGATGTGGACGACATAACCAATACCCCCCTGTGGACGACTTACATTGTAACTGCGTACGTGTTTGCTTGTGGACGAGTTTACTGACACCCGTTCAATATATGAATGCAACATATAAACAGCTGACCGTATTCATGCAATAGACCATAATTATCGATTTTTACCGTAAAACAGTAATCACAATTTCTCGTTACATATTGGTATTACATGTAGGGATGGGGCGGGGGTGTCCAGCCAAATACAACAACCCTTTGAAACGTCGACGAATAACTTCATAGTTAGTCATTTTATAAGTGTTGCGTTGTTTTCTTTATTTTGACATTCTGCTAATTGAGAAAATATTTGAATAATAAATACGGGTTATTTTACAAGACATCTCTTTTGAAAATTTCCCTTACGTTTAATTTTAACCGAAACGCCCAAATTGATTGACATGCAAAGAACAAACCATTGTGACCCTTCTTGAATGCCAACCATTTGCATATCAGAACCATATTAACAACTGTGATTGTTTTTTTAATAAAGATGTCAAACCTTTTTTGGTAATTTTCACTACTGACAATTTACAGTACGACTTGTATTTATACAAGTCGTACTGTCAAGACGACTACAACAGGGTAACAATTTGTTGTAAAATGGGCGTCTATTTTCTTTTGATGTCAGGTGCCAATTCACATTATGAAACCTTGATTGACAGTATGCATTCCCCAGACTCTTTGGTGCGGAAATGAAAAAGTCAGCATTATATTATCGCCTTTATCGGACTTATACGTGACCATGCACATGTATTCAGCAAAGTGTGCTTCATATCAGGTGACGAAGAGTTTTAATTCATTTGTGATTTAAACCAGAAAAGATATATTAGTTGAGGTGTGATATACCAATAATGTATGCACCGTGTGACTTATTTGTCAGTATGTGAATTACTATTTGGATGGATAAAACTACACCCTGGTAAGACCACAATCGATTTGTGTGCATTTTATCATTTTTCCGTAATATGAATGAATTTGTAATAGTCGATTGACGCAAGTATTCAAAATATGGAACATATTAAAGAAGTAATAACGTATTGGTATCTTTAGGCATATTCTGTTTAGAAAAAGAATGAATAATACCCGGGGTTTTCCGAAAAATGTGTTTATTCCTGTTTCGATTTCGAACTAGCCGTCAAATATTTGTGATCAATGGAAAAATGCCAACGTAGTAACTGATCTATAATAATTAAAGTGCTACATGTATTTCACCTAAAATTAAAACACCGAGTCACACCGTGTTTTCAACATCGGGGCAGTGCTATCGTGTCACTCGATGTTCACTCGATATTCACTTGGTAAATCATGGAATTCCACGATAGAAAACACGGTAATATCGTGTTTTGTCAAACTTTCACGATCTCCGTACTGTATGTCGCTTTGTGAAATAGTTCCAAATCTTACTGCTGGTATTGTCTGGACACTATCATAATGAGTAGAAGTTTTGGAAAAGGCGGGAAAATATGGTTTACACGTGATTGGAATGAAAGGGGGTATATCCCTTTGATGGCACGTGATTTCTTGTCTGCGATATCACTTATGTGGAAGCAGATGTTAAACACCAGGATACTACTACTACTACGATTACTGTCAGACATTCAGACTTCGAGCGTAGATGCTGATAACAATTTAGAAATAATTTAGTGATTTGTATTGTTATGTTAGGCTACTTTAAAAATTTAGACATAATTTGTATCAATAAATAATAACTTATAATATAGATCATACTAACAACAAATGAGTTTCCATTAGATGGTTTTATTTTTAACTATAGTTCTAGAAATGGCGGGAGAATATCACGTGATTGCCACTGTTGACAGGCAGGTCAGGAAGCTTAGTCGCTTTGATGTTTCATTCATTACCGCATGAACCATTCCAACATCTATTATTGACATACAGGTGCCGATCACTCTAGAGAATGATATCGTAATCAACACTTAAAATATGATAATCACAACATGACCCAATTTTATTACTTCAGAAACACAGTGTTCGTGTTTGCTTCGTGAGGTAAAATAGTATCATGTGTTTCCCGACTAACAATGAAATATATCTACATATTAAAATTATCAGTAATTGTATCTGTATCGGCGATATATTTCAGTCAATATTTGAAATTGGTAAAACCGATAGGTGCCATATCGGACCATCACTAGAGAGAGAGAGAGAAATGGGGTTTAACGTCCACTCGACACAAACTAGGTGATTTCGGGACTAACACATGGTTCAATTTTTTTTCAATAATTCGCTTGTACGTAGGGGTCTTTAGCAGTGGGAGGAAACCGGAGGACCCGGAGAAAACCCACGAGGTTGGACAGGCGACCCTACTCCTTGTCACGTACAAACGGGGAATCGAAACCCCGCCAGTTGACTCAATGACAGACTGTATGATACAGCGCAGCGCGCACGTGCTAACCATTCGGCCATCCACCCCCCCCCTCCATCACTAGAACTACTATTATATATAACAAATACTTTGGGCGGAGGTAGCATTCCCTGAATTAAGATAAAGATAGGTTGCTAAGCAACGACACATACACCCACAGCAACTACATTGTCCAAGCAGTCAACTAGGGTAGTCGCATTTTTTTCTTTTGTAGGTAATGGGAGTATTTACAAGACACTGATATCAATTCAATACAGATCAAATAATAACCTTTGTTATGAAAAAGCGTTCACAAGATTCAACATGGGCTTCAATAGGCTTCTCCATTTTACTAAACTGAATGATGCATATAAATTTAATACAGATCTGATGATAACCTTTGTCATTAGGTAGAGCATTCACAAGGTTCAACAAAGTGAAACATGGGACATAACTCTCAAGTTATTAACAGAAATTGCTTCTTTGTTTAACTAAGCCATAAAAATTTCATACAGATCAGATGATAACTTTAGTCATTAGAGAGTTTACAAGGTTTAACAAAGTGAAACAAGGGTCATAATTCTACAAGTAATTAACAGAAATTCAATAGGCTTCATCTTTTTACTGATCTAAATAATGCATACAAATTTCATACATAACGGATGAGAACTTATGTCAATAGAGCATTCACAAGGATCAACAGAGTGCAACGGAAATTGCTGAAATTCAATAGGCTCCTTCGTTTTACTAATCTAAATAATGCAGGTAAATGTGATACAGATTGGATGATAACTTTAGAGCGTTCACAAGGTTCTAGAAGTAATTAACCCAAATTGTTGAAATTAAATAGGCTTCTATGTATCACTAATGTAAACAACATATATAAATTTCAAAATAATCAGATAATAAATGTAGTCTGTAGAGTGTTCCCAAGAAATTGTGGACGACAGCCCGATGAAAGAGCGAAAGCGTAAAAAAAAAACCTTAAAAGAAACAATTGGGCCTAACTTCCTAAACCTATCATCAATGTTATAGTTGAATCTTATGCATTAACTTACTATTAAGCTTGGGTGATCCTCACATCTCAGAACAGCGATACCTTTTAAAAAATCCACTACGTTATAGTTCATTTCATATGCTTTTTTATTTGGTGTAATCATGTAAAACTGTTGGAGTTCCTGCAATTAAAGATGTAACAGTTGAAAAATCCTTGAACTGGTTAACTGATCATTAAAAACCCAACCGTAACCGGTTAACCCATAAAAATTTTCTAACAAAATATTTGTTGCACCAAAATAAGACTTAATAATATATTTTTAAATTATTAGTATTACAGCTTTTAAGTTAACAGTCAGTACAAATTCCATTCATTCATTCATTCTTGATATTTCATTTCTCCATCTTGCAAGCTGACAGGTCAGGTAATGACATATAGACCAGTTGAATTGAAATCATGTTGATTTTTTTTTAAAAAAGCTTTACTAATACTTCATAAGATTAGTTATGAAATCAATATTTGAAAGCATACCTTTGGATTTTTAAATACAAAATAAGTTTGATTATTCAATATCAGCTAATTCCAAAGAATTTACTACACATGTTGCTATTCACCAGAATTCATTTACAATAGAGGCGTTTTTGTGAGTCGATTAGATTAGGTTTTGATTTGCTAGTATGATTTGGTATGATTTCGATTTGATTAGGTATGGTCCACAAATGTGAAATTTGATAATTACGATTTGGTAAGACGGCTGCCACCACGGACACCGATCAGAAAAAAAATTGTCTCTGCTAACATGACGAGTGGGGCGTGTGTTTCACGTGTAGTCCAAGTTACCTACAGATTACAGTGACACTGCTGGCACCCAGAGGGCCTAAAATTGCTTAGAGCCAGAGGTGATCTAACATTCTTGTGGACTATAAAGTTAACATTAAAGGAGCTAAATCGCTAACATTTGGGACCTAGAAATTGACAAAAGTGGGTCGCAATGCATATAATACTGTAATATGAATGTATATAAACTGATTTACATTCAATGGTTTCCGTTTTTACTCCAATTTCAAATCCGTTATGTTCGGCGAAATAAGCCAGCAGTCTCAAGCGAGTGCAAATTTCTAGCGTCTGGTTATTCCAGTTTACATACGCCGTTTGATTTGGTGCAATGTGTCTAGCCTCGTCCCTCGAGTCTCTTGATACAACTAGGGCTGAAGCACATTATGGTACACGATTCGTGTACCAATGGTAAAATGTTTATTTTGTCTTAAATATTGGATATCAAAAGCCCATCTTTTCCCGTTAAGATCACAACATGAATGTTAATATAATTTGACAAATAAATCGTGTTTTCAATGTTGAAGATTTTGGATGATATTGAGTTAGAGACTTAGCTACTTTAAACACATCAAATGCGTTTTAAAAAAACATTTTTTATGGAGAAAAACAACAATAAGCATTAAAAATTACTTACGATGTCAAACATTCCGCCATTTTGAAAACGTCAAATCTAATCGCCTAAACACCTCCTGGGACGATTAGGTCGATTTGCCTAATCAGTTGAGTTAAATCGTCTCACAAATGTAACGATTAGCATAATCAACTTGGTTCACAAATGCGTATAATAGCTAATCGGTCTAATCTAATCGGTTCACAAAAACGCCTTAGGTGTTGCAGCTAAATCGTCCAGGTATTCAACAAGTGTTGTCGCATATTTTTACTTTTTTTTGGTAATGAAACATTTATAAATCACTAAAATCTGATAAAGAGTAACAACTCATGAAGTAATTATCAATCTGAAGTCAATCAGATGATAACTTTAGCCTCTAGAGCATCACAAGATTTTTTAAAGTGATCAAGGGCCATAACTTTGACAGTAATTATCGGAAATTGTTGAAAATCAATAGGATTCTTTGTCTCGCGACCTCAAACATTGAGTATAATTTTAAAGTCAATCAGATGTTAACTTTAGCTTCTAGAGCATCCACAAGATTTTGAGAAGTGATCAAGGGCCTTAACTCTGGCAGAAATTATCAGAAATTGCTTACAATCAATAGGATTCTTCGTCTTCTAACCGTAAACACTGTGTATAAATTTAAAGTCAATCGGATATTAACTTTGGCCTCTAGAGCGTCCACAAGATTTTTTTAAGTGATCAAGGGCCATAACTCTGGCAGTAATTATCGGAAATCATTGAAAATCAATAGGATTCTGTGTCTCATGACCTTAAACACTGTGTATAAATTTAAAGTCATTCGGATATTAACATTGACCTCTTCAGCGGCCACAAGATTTTTTGAAGTGATCAAGGGCCATAACTCTGGCAGTAATTATCAGAAATTGCTGAAAATCAATAGGCTTCTTCATCTCATGACATTAAACACTGTGTATAAATTTAAAGTCAATCGGATATTAACTTTGACCTCTAGAGCGTCCAAAAGATTTTTTGAAGTGATCAAGGGCCATAACTCTGGCAGTAATTACCAGTAATTAAAGTCAATCAGATATTAACTTTAGCCTCTAGAGCGTCCACAAGCAATTGTGGATGCCGGACGGACGGACAGGGCCGATGTCAATATGCGATCACATTTCAATGTGGGCGTATAAAAACTACCAGAATTCATTTAAAATATATGCATCATGATTATAATAACGTAGGGCGCGTTGAATATAACTCCAAAACCACACCCAGTAACTCCAACCAGCGGCTGCCAGGCAGGATACGCCCACATTTTCGAGATATGGATAGAGAACAAGCTAAAAAGAAAGTGATTTTCCGTACAATCAGGGATCATAATTCAGGAAGTTACGGTCCGATATGCGGGAATATCGAAAGGAACCGAGATCTTTGGGTTATAAATGAGATGGGGTTTAAGGTCCTACTGTTCTGCTCCTCTACTGGGCTAATGAAGACGGGTCTTTGGGTTATAAACTTACATTTCAAGTTTCAACAAAATCGGATAAAAATTGTGACCTCTATAGGGTCCACAACCTTGATATACCATATTTTTACGCTATTTGAGAACGAAGGCGACCATTTTGTCTGTCAGTTTTGGGCCGAAATTCGAACTCAGTCGTCCTTAGGGTGTAACGGTGATATTATAATACAGTTTTTTAAATCGGATAAAAATTATGACCTCTATAGGGTCCACAAGCTAAAAACGCGATTTTTCATACAATCAGGGGCCATAATTCAGGAAGTTACGGTTCGATATGCGTGAATATCAAAAGAAACCAAGATCTTTGGGTTATAAACTTACATTTCAATTTTCAACAAAATCGGATAAAAATTGTGACCTCTATAGGGTCCACAACCTTGATATACCATATTTTTACGCTATTTGAGAACGAACGGCGGCCATTTTGGGTCTATTTTCATGAAATTCGAAGTCAGTCATCCTTAGGGTGTAACGGTGATATAATAATCCGTTTTTTTAAATCGGATAAAAATTATGACCTCTATAGGGTCCACGTTTTTTTAAATCGGATAAAAATTATGACCTCTATAGGGTCCACAAGCTAAAAACGCGATTTTTCGTACAATCAGGGGCCATAATTCAGGAAGTTACGGTCCGATATGTGCGAATATCGTAAGGAACCGAGATCTTTGGGTTATAAACTTACATTTCATGTTTCAACAAAATCAGATAAAAATTGTGACCTCTAAAGGGTCCACAACCTTGATATACCATTTTTCGTACAATCAGGGGAAATAATTCAGGAAGTTACAGTCTGATATGCGAGAATATCTTTGGGTTATAAACTTACATTTCAAGTTTCAACAAAATCGGATAAAGATAGGTTGCCAGGCAACGAAACATACGCCCACAGCAGCTAAATCGTCCGGGCAGTCAACAAGTGTTGTCCAGGGGGCAACTGTAAAAAAAAATGCAAACAGCAACTGGGGGTGGGGTGGGTCTGCCAGCTGAAAAAAGTGCAAGAAAAAGTGCATTTCCGGGTAAGAAAATTGGGTGGTCTAACGGAGTTCTGCAAGAAAAAAAGCATTTCTGGGTAAGAAAATTGAGTGGTCTAACTGAGTTCTGCAAGAAAAAAAGCCTTTCCGGGGTAAGAAAATTGGGTGGTCTGAGTTCTGCAAGAAAAAAAGCATAATGTGTAAGAAAATTGGGTGGTCTAACAGAGTTCTGAAAGAAAAAAAGCCTTTCCGGGTAAGAAAATTGGGTGGTCTAACAGAGTTCTGAAAGAAAAAAAGCATTTCTGGGTAAGAAAATTGGGTGGTCTAATGGGTCCCTGCAAGAAAATTGCATGAAACGGGATACGAAATGTTTCAGTTCATATCAATAACCACTCCATCAAAATAGAATCGTATTTTAGACCGTATCTAAAATTATAGTTTACGTACATATACGTCTACAAAAAAAATAGGGATACAAAATTGAAAGCTATATCCTACTTTTTGCCTCAGTAATTACAATAATTGCGCTGTTTTGAGCTCCAAATGAGTTGACGTTAGGTCATTTGGGTATTATACGACTAGATATCATGGTGGCCAAATGCAACAAAATCTGAATTCTATAGAATTGATATGTAATAACAACGGCAGTTCTAGAAACTACGGCTCTACTCTTTCAATAGAGAATGATCATGGAAAATAAGCTTTGATTGGTCGCTGGTAAATAAATTATGAAAGAAAATGCTATTAGAATATTTTGAAGATTTTTAAAAAGATTAGTAAATTAGCCTTAGTGTGGCCTTTTTGACCGGTAGTGCCAGTCGTGAATGAATTAGTTACGGCCTGTTAATCGAGACTACACAGGGATAACTCTTGGCAACAACCGGCAACAATGATGGCTACACTTTCGAAGTTTTGATAACTTTAACATGGTTGAGTTTTTAGCCTTTATTATTTTATTTGCAGACCGTCAACACAATTTTATTGCTAGTTCTTGTTCAGAGAAGAGCAGTTCTTGCAAACACCCCTCAGAATACCCTATAAAAATATGTGATGCCTAGGATTCAAGTGGTTGCTATGTATATCGTTCTGACGTGTTGTCAATCATTCTCATTGTCAATTTTAGCAAAATTTCCCGTTATCCTAGGCCCAAATCAGCTGCTATTTCACCTCCCCTAGTGACTATATTTTCAAACAATTTCTTGAGACTAATGACTCATTATCAGGCGGATCATGTTATTCAGAATTTGGGCAAACTTTGATTTAAATTGTTC